GAGAATGGGAGCATGCAGCATAAATATGGAACAATTGGAACAGAAGTGTACCAATGACATCGCCATACGCTCAGCTCGTCAGGAGCTGCATTTCACCTCCTATTAATGGTTTCAAGATAATAATAAATTCTTACTTTTTTCATATAGTGGGGAATAATCATTAACTCAGTCAAACAAACAAAAAAAAATCAAGTGAAGATTTCGCCTTCACACGAGAGGGCTGCTGCAGACGGGCTAACTTTAGCCCTGGATGCATTAGCCTCTGAGATCCACTGGTTGCCGCGGTCCTCTCAACAGAAATTTTCTAAATTTTGGGACAATATCATCTGATAAAGAGTATATTGATATACATTTTTAAGCCAACATGATTTGAAATTGAAATATGACTTCCCTACGACTTTCACTTAATACTCTGAGCTCTGTGATCGCGAACCTGAAAACTGCTGCTGCCGCAGTGCATGCTGGGACAGCTGTCAATCTTGAGAACAGATAAGTCTGCTCTGATGCATGCTGGGTAAAGAAGGAAGGGCAAGAAAAACATCAGGGGACTTTGTCCGTTCTCGGTCTTCTCGTTCATTTGAAATGGAGCAGAACTAGGGGTTGAGGCTGATGACGTTTCACGATCACATGGGAACGCACATATTGAGAAACAGCCTGAGACAGCTTCCAGTATATTGTAATTTTAGAGCCTATCTTCAGTTCTTTCAGCTGTCAGGGGTTTAAAATAAGAACACTAGTATGTGGAAATTTAACCTTTAGCCTTATGGACGTCATTACATGACAGAAACTCACATGGACGATAATAGTTAAAGCCATCACTACAGCAAAAACACAAGTTACATAAATGTAGGAAATGACTGCCGACATTACTCAGACACATTTATAATGGCGAACACTGATGCACACCCGCTTAGGATAAATAGATCTTACCAAGTAGATGATTTTGGATCCATACTAGGTTTTCTGTAGCTTGGGTGCCATTCCGAACTTAGTCCCGCCCACAAAGTTTGAGGTCGGGGAAGTTCGGTCTGGCTCTGCTCCATAGTAGCGCGAGTATTAAAGCCCACTGTCAGGCGATCCAATCAAATTGTCAGGGCGGGCTTTATACGATGATGGACAGATGACCAACAGTAACCGAATCAACCACGTGACCAATGCGCGCTTGGGTGACAACAATAATGGCTGCCGCTGGAGAGTTTAGGTGAGTAGATTCTGCTATTAGGTCTGTTCTAGAAGATATCGACAGCAAATTAATTTTAAAAGAGGAACAGAGAAACGCGATCAAGGCTCATCTTCTTATTCTAGGTGTTAAACTGCACGCTTTGATTTTTGTGGACAACAACTATGCCTCGCTTAAGATACGTCACGCACTCTGTTGCTCTTATTGGTTGTAGGTCTATCCAATTGAGTGCAGAGGCATTTTTTTTCCTGGTTCGTTCGAAACACGCCCCATAATCACAGCTCTATGGAGCAGTATCAGACTCATATTCTGACTAGAATTGAGTCGGACTACGTCAGGCTATGTTTTCTGAGGAGATAGATCTTTCCTTCCTGCTTTACTGGGCTTTCCAGTTCTTTAAAATGTTAAAAACCCAACAGGATTTCCAATTACGAAAACAACAAATCATATTTAGGATTGCTAACACCCTGGGGAAAAAAAAGAGGAACACCCTATGTGTGTCCCAGCTGACCTGAATGCCTTTACCCCTCCTGGCATGGAGATTTTTTTAGCCCCCCTTTGAGTGTGAAATGATTTTTTAACCTATTTGACTCAAATCTGCTTGAATAAGATGCATAGTTGCAGTGTGTTTTATATTCATTATCGCAGGTATTTGTTTTTTTTCCAATTGCTCCCTATATTTCTGCATCCTTCTTTTTCGGAGGAGGAGCTATGCGAAGGTGCACTGCCCCCAAAAGCAGCATCAGCATTTAAATAACTCCGTTCATCCCCCCTACTGCTCTGCTTTCTCCCGCTATCTTTTCTGTGAGCAACACTTGACTCGACCAATGGGATGAAGGGATTCTGGATCGTTACATAAATGTTGTCAGCTCATTGGTCACTACACAGGACAGGGCCCGGGAACAAGTTTTTTATCTAACGTGCCGTTGTTCATTTTCCATTAGCTTTTTACTTACTATTTTTGACTCTTACAGTAACAAGGGAAATAATTCCTTTTCCACTAAATACTAGTGTTGCACCAAAACCGATACCAGTATGGGGCGTAGGGGTGTAAATCACACCCATCATGGCGATTCGATTCAGTATTGATTTCCTGAATCAACGATTCGATTATTTTCGATACTGGATTATTTTTTATCGTACAGACTAGACAATGTTTCAAATTTGAAATTAATCAATGAAAGCTGTAATATCGTTATGCATTTTATTTGAGAAACAACAGCAAATAACAGAAGTAGAAAAGTTGTACTCCACCTATTCCTATTAAAACCTAATTCGCTGAAAAATAATAATGTCCCTGCATTATAGACTCTGAAATGCTTTGCATCAAAAAATACTGCAACAAAATACTCTCCCAAATTGTAGCTGACCGCAGACAGTGCCACAGACAGGAGGCCGTTTTTAATGACCGAAATGGCGGAAAAGGACTGGTGAAGTTTGACCCACTAGAAGAGCGAGGTGCGTGAGAACGCTGGGACACTTTTCCCACCTGAATCTCCGCTCTTTATGGCCCTCATGTCCCTCCGTTGTCAGACTACTCGCCCCCACGGCTGTAACTAGCCCCACAGCATTTAGCGCAGACCACGCTTCAATATTGAGCATAAATAAAAATGTCTGTGTCAAGCTCACTGTGACACACTGCTGTAAGAGTATAACGAGGACGTGAGGTAGGAGGGCAAAATAGGTTTAGCGCCACCACAGCACGGGAGGGAGAATTACGCCCAGGAGCAAATGGATAAAAATAGATCTACGGAAAAAAAAGAAAAAACACTGATACTCTTGCAGACGTGTCGATGCATCGGATCGTCAGCTGTTGGATCGATGCATCGATCAAAACGATTATTATTTACACCCTTAATTGGGCGGGGCCCCAATCCAGCACTAAAATGGTGGTATTGGTGAGTACCGACAAATAGTGCACCGATACCATTTTGAGAGTCAAAAAGTTTCTTCAACTATTGTCACCTAGCCTGACGTAGTCCTACTCAATTCTAGTCAGAATATGAGTCTGATACTGCTCCATAGAGCTGTGATTATGGGGCGTGTTTCGAACGAACCAGGAAAAAAATGCCTCTGCACTCAATTGGATAGACCTACAACCAATAAGAGCAACGGAGTGCGTGACGTATGTTAAGCAAGGCATAGTTTTTGTCAACAAAAATCAAAGCGTGCAGTTTAACACCTAGAATAAGAAGATGAGCCTTGATCGCGTTTCTCTGTTCCTCTTTTAAAATTAATTTGCTGTCGATATCTTCTAGAACAGACCTAATAGCAGAATCTACACACCTTAACTCTCCAGCGGCAGCCATTGTTGTTGTCACCCAAGCGCGCTTTGGTCACGTGGTTTACGTTACTGTTGATCATCTGTCATCACCGTATAAAGCCCGCCCTGACAATTTGATTGGCCCGCCAGATATTGTGCTAGCATACCCGCGCTACTGTTGAGCAATGCCAGACCGAACTTCCCGACCTCAAACGTTGTGGGCGGGACTAAGTTCGGAATACCACCCAGGCTAATTGTCACCCATTCCAGGTAGGCAATACAAAGTTCTACTGGATTCACTTTGTCTTAGTCCTTTTCCTGCTTCACAAAGGTAGGCAGCAGCTTGACAAAGCCATTATGGCAATTATTTTACATCCAAGTAGTATGCAGTTCTTCATTTATAAACACACACATCAATTTCAATCAGATGGTATCGGTATCGGCTAGGGTGACCAAAAATCCTCTTATTCCTGGACATGTCCTACTTTTCATACCTAAAAAAATATCCTGGGGGAATTTCAAAATCGTCCAGGATTTTGGTAGACTACAGCCCGCCGAGAATACTGGCGGAGGGAGCAACCGAACCAGACGCCATGACGCTAGTCGCGGCCCCGTCCTTCCCCCCGCCTGCACGGTAAGACAGGTGGGGGGAAGCATACCGTCACCGGGTCGGGTTCCGTCGCTCCAGACCAGCCCCCGAGATGATGTCTCAGTTCAAATTCCTGGTCCGGTCAGGCACCCCCTCCCCCACACACACACACAAAAAAAAAGTCCTCCTCAGAAACCCAAATCTGGTCACCCCAGTATCGGACAATACTGCACAGCCAGGTATCGGGTATCAGGGCCACGAAATAGCATCGGCGCAGCACTACTAAATACGGGACAGGTACTTATATTTCTAAATGCAGAATAATTCCGTTTTCAATGGATGGTTAGCAACCCTAATAATATTTCTATTACAAACTGCTATTCAATAAGCTGGTGCCCTACTTCAACAATTAGCTACTGTGATTGTCACACAAATATGATACAATAAGACGTTTTAATGCCTGAAAAAACATTAAAAAATAAAAAGTTAGAAGCCTAAAGGAACAAAGGAACTCACAGTTTTCAAATAAAATCACAAATAGCTGTGTCGTTCCCATAAGCTACTAAGCTAGACCGATAAGTGCGCAAATTCTACGCGTTTAGTTGCTCTTGAGCGCCCCCTCTTTGACTGCGGATACATGAAAGAGCGCTAGTTTTCTGCGCAGTTTACTGGAGCACAGCTTAGCCTACAGACATGTAGCCACCAAAGGGAAGGTCTTTTTAAACTTTCAGGGGTAACTTTAGGGACGTCGCCATTTTTCCGTGGTCTTGCAAACTGCCAGAAGCCAGCTATGGTCGCAAACACACTCCCGGAGAATCTTCCCTCCGTCTGAGGCAGTTTTTTCAGGCTCCTTCAGACCTCCAGCCGGCAGGGCCTCTGCCCGCGGCGCCGCCGACCGACGGCTAACCGAGCTGGAGCCCTTACAGATAAAAATGTGGCGCAGATGAAGAGTAAAGGGGCGTAATTACCTTTCAACGGCGCTGTCTCGGCATCCTCCGGTCGCCGCTGTGTCGACGCTCCACGGTAAAATGGCTGCTACAACAGAGGCGCCGATGACAGACCAAAGGGAAGGGGCGGAGGCAGACTGGAGAGAGAGGAGGGAGGCGGGTTCACTGAGCCCCCCCTGAGGGGTGGGGGTGGGGAATAGGCAGCTGTTACCATGGAAAAAAAATATTTTTTAAAATTTACCCCCCAAAGATATTGCCAGAAAAAAAATCTTATTAAATAAAACCACATTTAAAGAAAAATATTTAGAAAAATGTAGATGTGGGTGGAGTTCTAAAAACTGGGCGGAGCTTAAAATGTTTTTGGCCAAAATTTGTATTACCAGCTTTATGGGTTCCAGATTGCTTAGCTCAAGTAATCAAAGTTGGTGGCTGATGGACATACAGTTACTCCAATGCTTTCATTGGTTTTTTGTATTGTCAGAAAAAAAAAAAAAAAAAAAAAATATATATATATATATATATATATATATATATATATATATATATATATATATATATATATATATATATATATATATATATTTATTGAATGCTTTCCTATTGTCGAGAACACAAGAGAACCATAAAAAAAATGATATTTATATTTATAGATAGTTAGAGAGGTGCTTTTTATTGCATTTTAAATATAGGGCCCAAAAACAGCACACACAAAGAAATGGAGCGTGAGGAGGACTCCTGCAGCAAAACAGCATTTCCACATGGAAAGAACGGTGTTACGTTGAGCTGCTTTTCCCCATCAGATACGGTTTCCACTGCATCTCCGCACAGCGCAGGCGGCACGATTCACTGCGCAAGTGACAGGAAATGCGCATGCTCGCTAAAGGCGCGTAACATCAGTTTTGGCCTATATGGAGAAAGGGAGAAATTGGGATTTGAAAAGATCAGATTCTTATCGGATTTAGGAAAAAATCAGATCTGTGTTGTTCAGACTGCCATGAAAAGATCACATCCAGGTCCCAAAAAAATCGGATTTGGGTCACTTCAGGCTGCAGTGTGAACATAACCTATTTGTGCTGATGTAACGAGTACATTTCTCTACTGTGAGATTAATAAAGTCAAGTAATCAATATTTGTCATGTTTGAGTTTGTTTGCATCACGTAGTACCTTTGAAGTATAGTGCGTAATCTAGAGAACAACACAACTTAAGTACAGTGTAATGGTGTTGCCATGGCGACATGGCCAAATGAGGAGTTTCGCCATAACTATACTTTTGGTTCTAAACACTGCACCAAAATGGCTACGATGGAACCTGGTCCAAGCCAACACAGAAATCCAGCCCAATATTTGGTGGGCGTGGATTCAGTTCTCAACAGCACCCCCTAGAAAGACCAAAAAAACAGCCTCAAGCCTTGCCTTTACTGAGGGTTATGAAACTTGGCAGATATGTGTAACTCATCAGGACCTACAAGAAAGTCCTTTGGAGCCTTGATCCAAACCCCACAGGATGTCGGCCATTTTGGATGGAACTGTGTGCGCTTTATAGCCTCTACATTTGATCAAACTCCTCCTAGAGCTTTTGAGTTACAGCCTTCAAATTCACAAATTGATGTTTGGGTTTGTTTGCATTACATAGTACCTTTGAAGTATAGCATGAGTAATCTAGAGAACAACACAATTAAAGTACAGATACATGCTTTGTTTTCATATTTTGCCAGATTGCTCTGACCATGTCTGATGATGACATCACAAGCAATATAATGAAAACAATTTAAAAGGATACATTTTGTCAGCAATATAAATTAAACTAAGTATTCTTTCATAATTTAAGGATAGAATTAATTACTCTCGGTACTATAATTCATCATTAAATGGAAGCCTGGATGAATTGCACATTAGCACATCAGCTGACAGTAGGAATTGTGCTACCAGTACAGGTTGGGTAATGACACTCAGCATTTGGCAGCTAGCTTAAAAAAATTAAAAAAAACTTGGCAACTAGCTTAGCTTAACCGTATCAAAGCATAAACAGTGAGCAGAGAGACCCAGCCACAGATACATCTTTCGAGGATTTTTGACCCCCTGATCACTGTAGGATGAGGGAGACTTTCTGGAGCTCATTGGGCCACAGCTGTAACAGTTTATGCAGCTTGCTTAAAGGTGCTAATTCAGGGACGCCCAAAGATTTTGATTGCAAGACAGTGGAAGACAGGATGACTAACTTTAGCAGTATGTATTGAGTTGCACTTATACCTGAACACAGGGCTTTGGTGAAGAATGCCTCTACCTCGAACATAGGTGTACAGGCGAATACCACTTAAATCCAAAGGAAATTCAACTGCAATAGCTACTGGTCAAACTCTTTGGCAGCAATTGCTGTAGTATGCTGTAGTAGGCTTATACAGGTGCTGGTCATAAAATTAGAATATCATGAAAAAGTAGATTGATTTCAGTAATTCCATTTAAAAAGTGAAACTTGTATATTATATTCATACATTACATACAAACTCATATATTTCAGATGTTTATTTTGTCTAATTTTGATGATTACAAATGACAACAAATGAAAATCTCAAATTCATCATATCAGAAAATTAGAATATTACTGAAGACCAATAAAAACAAAGGATTTATAGAAATGTTGGCCAACTGAAAAGTATGAACATGAAAAGTATGAGCATGTACAGCACTCAGTATTTAGTTGGGCCTCCTTTGGCCTGTATTACTGCAGCAATGCGGCGTGGCATGGAGTCGATCAGTCTGTGGCACTGCTCAGGTGTTATGATAGCCCAGGTTGCTCTAATAGTGGCTTTTAGCTCTTCTGAATTGTTGGGTCTGGTGTATTGCATCTTCTTCTTCACAATACCCCATAGATTTTCTATGGGGTTAAGGTCAGGAGAGTTTGCTGGCCAATTAAGAACAGGGATACCATGGTCCTTCAACCAGGTACTGGTAGCTTTGGCACTGTGTGCAGGTGCCAAGTCCTGTTGGAAAATGAAATCTGCATCTCCAAAAAGTTGGTCAGCTGCAGGAAGCATGAAGTGCTCTAAAACTTCCTGGTATGTGGCTGCGTTGACCCTGGACCTCAGAAAACACAATGGACCAACACCAGCAGATGACATGGCACCCCAAACCATCACTGACTGTGGAAACTTTACACTGGACTTCAAGCAACGTGGATGAAGTGCCTCTCTTCTTTTCCTCCAGACTCTGGGACCTTGATTTCCAAAGGAAATGCAAAATTTACTTTCATCAGAGAACATGACTTTGGACCACTCACCAGCAGTCCAGTCCTGTTTCTCTTTAGCCCAGGCAAGACGCTTCTGACGCTGTCTGTGGTTCAAGAGTGGCTTGACACAAGGAATGCGACAGCAGAAACCCATGTCTTTCATACGTCTGTGTGTGGTGGTTCTTGAAGCACTAACTCCAGCTGCAGTCCACTCTTTGTGAATCTCCCCCACATTTTTGAATGGGTTTTGTTTCACAATCCTCTCCAGGGTGCGGTTATCTCTCTTGCTTGTACACTTTTTTCGACCGCATCTTTTCCTTCCCTTCGCCTCTCTATTAATGTGCTTGGACACTGAGCTCTGTGAACAGCCAGCCTCTTTAGCGATGACCTTTTGTGTCTTGCCCTCCTTGTGCAAGGTGTCGATGGTCGTCTTTTGGACAACTGTCAAGTCAGCAGTCTTCCCCATGATTGTGTAGCCTATAGAACTAGACTGAAAGACCATTTAAAGGCTTTTGCAGGTGGTTTGAGTTAATTAGCTGATTAGAGTGTGGCACCAGGGGCCATCAATTTTGAACCTTTTCACAATATTCTAATTTTCTGATATGATGAATTTGAGATTTTCATTTGTTGTCATTTGTAATCATCAAAATTAAACAAAATAAACATCTGAAATATATGAGTTTGTATGTAATGTATGAATATAATATACAAGTTTCACTTTTTAAATGGAATTACTGAAATCAATCTACTTTTTCATGATATTCTAATTTTATGACCAGCACCTGTACTGCTGGAGGACATAGGGACCCCTTTTTCATCATTCTGCTTCTTTCCATCTCTATTCTCCCATGTCTACAGGATTTGTTAGTTAAATCTCTCACGCTGTACTCTCTCTGCTTTTTCTCTTTTTAGCTTCATCTGGTCTGTTTCTGTTTGGCACCATTCTGGAGAGAAATATCAGCTGTGCAGCTGCAATCAACACCATTGTTTATAGATGTTGGAGCTCTGCCTGTTTCTCAGTTTAGTCCTGTTTATCTGATTGTGACTGGCTGGATGTGCTCTTTTCTTCCTCTGACGTGGGAGCTGGCTTAGAACCCATCTGTCTGGCTGTGTGTTTTCTGGACGGGGCCGCCTGTGGAGCTGGTTGACACAGCCTTTTGTATCTCTGCTTCTGTCTCCTTGAACCCCAGTCGGCCTCGGCAGATGGCTGCCCACACTGAGCCTGGTTACTTCCTGTTAAAAGGGAGTTTTTTCCTCTCCACTGTCACGACAAGCATTCTTAGTGATTCTTAGGGATTGCTGAAGAGTCAATGAGTCGATACAATGAGTCGATACAATCAACTGGTTTTCCTTAGATAGAAAACTTTGAATCAATTTGACTGGATGATCTGGTGAACTGGAAAGTGCCTTGAGATGACAGGTGTTGTGAATTGGCATTATAGAAACAAACTGAATTGAATTGAATTAGTATATAGCATAACCTTGGAGCAAGTTCATACAATTTACGTAAATGCAAAAGAAAGTCATTTGTTAATTAGTTACTCTTTAAGCATTTTAAATATCAGTAGCTAATTTAGGTCAAATTAAAATGTTCTTGTTTTTGGGAAAATCGAAAGGTTTGGTTCTATTACTAGTCCATCACAACGGTGCACATTTTTTGTGAAAAAAAGCACAATTTCAAAATAACCTCAGAGTAATGTAATATTTTTAAAACATCTCAAAACATATTTTCATATTAACCGGAAAATACTTAATCCATAACTATAACATTAGACCCAAGCAACAAAGCGCTGTGAAGGCCTATTGTATTTTGAAAGTTTCTTATTATCCTACTGCCTCTAAGAATGGATTTTCGGGGGCTTTAACATACATGAAAACTCACAAAATT